GCTACTGATTTTTTTTATGGGACCACAAATAAGGTATAATGCTCTGGACATATGGTAGGAGAGCAAAAGGTGAGAGATGAGAGTAATTAGGAACCAAATCAGCTGTATCTGACTTAAGCAGCTGTCCCTAACAATGCCCTTTACAAGCCAACAGCCATGTGGATCCTTCTAGATCTCAAGATACCCCTTGATCGCAGGGAACTCATGGGTGGGAAAAAAGTCATGATTACTTTAAAAGAGTTCTTTGGTTTTCACTTGTGATGCCTTGAAAGACAGACACGCGGCCCATTTCTAGTCCGGGAGACGTCTCTAGAATCCAGCTGGAGAAGAGCAATGAGACATCCCCGCGTAAACCCACAGCAACTCCTTCCTGAGATTGCTAGAATGCTTCCAGGTAGAGCAATCGTCTGGGCAACCAAGGGGAACGCAATTCGAGAGAACTTCCGATTTCAATACTGATGTCGCTCGTTAACCTAATGAACGGATGTCACCAGCCTCTGACTTCTTAACTCTGGTGGGGGACAACTGGTCAACCCTATTACATTTCCTAATGCTTGTAGAAAAACACATCGGAGAACACCACAGACCAGCGCCGCTGCCTAAGGCGGCTGTCTTTGGAATGGGGAGGAACGCGACGGAAAGTTCTGGGCCATTCCACGTTCCAGTTGAGTTCACGGTCTTTATTGTGTTCACGTTCACTGGTGGGATTGAGACAACACAGGATGATTCTTGTGGGGCGTTTAGAGCCTTTCAAACACCGGGTTAAAACCCGCCATGCAGTCAAGCGTGTGGGTAACAGCACACCCTTTGTGTGTGTATGTCTTGTTGGTGGTGGGTTTTTTTTTCCACAAATGTGTGGCCCTCTTTTCTTTTTTTCTCTCTCTACCTGACAAACTCTGTACCACGGAGATTAGCCTTTGAGCTATCTGTAGCAGAGCTCGTGGTAGAAGATAACGTTATTTGAATATACAATCAGTCTATAATTAACCAGGGATGACAATTATAAATAACACTGTGTCCCGGAGTTTCCAAGAAACCTGACACACACAAGCACACAGATCTTGGGTAATGTTGAAACACTTCCAAGAAAAGTAAAAGAAGTGAAAAATCTTTTAGAAGTCTTCAATTAAAATGTGTTTCGGTAGAAATGACTTTGGGTGGTGTGCTTTGGTACATATCACTGCAATATTCCCCTCTGTCTTCACACCTTTAATTGTTTTCACTGGCCAATTACAGCTTCTCTGAATGAAGACCTTCTTGTTGGGGTAACCATAGTTGGCTTGTGTGCAATGTGAAGCAAAGCTAATGGGTACAGGGGTGACGTGCCCCAGAAAACACAACCACCTGTGTCTCAGGTCATGCAATCTCTCTAGCACCCAGCTGGCTTGTTTCTCTTTCCTTCTTTCCCCAGCTCCTTTCCCATCTTCCTTTCTGCCTTTATCTCCCTCTCGTTTTACTTTTCACATGCTTTAGGAAGTTGGGCCTATTATTTCAGAGAGAAAAATGTTCCTTCTTCAGGGATCTAAATGGCATGAGAAAATGCCAGTGGAAGACATTAAAGGGAACTTGTCGCACGTTCTGTTTATGTCTTTCCTTGCGAACTAAGAAAGCAAAAGGTCAAATGAATCACTGATCTTATGTACAGACTGGCCACAGATACAGATGAGAGGTCATAGAACTCAGATAAAAAGGCAGGTATTAGGAACATCACAGCTCCATGTGCATAGTGGCGTCTCTTCAATTGGGGGAGCAAGAGCCTACCTTGCTTTTGCAAATGAACCAACAGTCGTCGTGGAAGATAACGGGACAGTTGCCGTGTAGCCGAATGCCTGGTCTGACATGCTGAGCTAGCTGGTGTTTGTACTCACAAATAAACAAGACATGATCTGCAGTCCAAAGAATCATGTGCTCTAAACGCTCAAGGAAGGCAGAGACCCTATCTCCTGCTTCAAAACAAAAGACGATGCTAGGATCTAGTGGCTCACGCCTGTAATCCTAGCCATTCAGGAGGCTGAGATCTAAGGATCAAGGTTTAAAACCTAGCTCTGACGGGAAAATCTCTTGGGACTGGCGTCTCCGATTAGACACCAACAAGCTGGAGAGTTCTGACTCGAATGGCGGATCACCAGCCTTGAGTGGAAAAAGCCAAGCAAGAGTGTGAGGTCCTGAGTTCAAGCCCCAGTGCGGGTTCCACTCCCCAGGCCACTACCCCAAAAGGAAAACAAAACAAAGAAGCAAAACAAGACAAAAAGGCCGGTTGTCAACACCTCCAGGCTCTAAATACTGACTAATCATTTCCTGAAAGATTTGGCCTTATCATTTCCTTCCTAGGGGCCATACACACACGAGATTAAGCACCGTAGACGTGACACTGGGACGTCCAGAGCGGCACTTGCTTCAAAGAGCTCCCGGGATCTCGACTGAGCCTCAGGGTCACGGACACTGAAGGTTTCCTTACAGGAGTCTGCCGCAGTGCACCACTTGCGGGGCAGCTTCATTTCCATCGTGTGAGATTCCTTTTCCCCACTTTAAACACACGCATGCATTCGAAACTTTAACTGTGTCAAAAGTGCGTGGCGAATCGATTCAGGAGCAGAGACATCTTAAACTAGCCAGTAGGTATTTGCAGAGTGGAAACAGGCTATCTTGGAAAAGGGTTGTTTTAAGTTGTTGTAACTTTAAAAAACAACAAAGATTTAAAAAAAGGGAATGATAGCAGTAGCTTTATTACAAGAGCCTGTTGTTTCTTTTTTTTTTTTTGCTGGTTCATTGGAAATAAGCATCTCACACACTCTGCCCTGGCTGGCTGCAAACCTCGATCCTCAGATCGCAGCCTCCAGAGGAGCTGGGATGACGGGCGTGAGCCCCCAGTTCCTGGCTTGGAACTGGTAACTTCCAGGAAAGTCAACTCTGCTCCTACAGCCCACGTAGGAGGTGTTAATCAGAGGAATCGAATAAAGTAAGACTGGGGAGGAGGGGACCAGGGAAGCGGAAACCGGGGCTCCTCCAACAATAGCTAAGAGTGGGGGACAGCAGAGGCAGATGGCTCCACCCCGGTTATTTAATCAAAAGGCGGTGCCGAGACACCGGAGCCGGCAGCGGCGTGTGTGTGAACAACGGCTGAAGTGCATTCAAGAAGATTAACTCGTGGAGCCGGGGTGGAGAGCCCAGGATCATTTTATGCACTACCATTGCCGTACAAGCCGTCAGCACAGTTATTGCCCTCCGACGTGAGTGACTGATCTGTAAGCACCGCGAAACAGCAGGCTGCTGAGGGGTCTGGGAGCTTCATGGAGATGAATTTCCATACCATCAAAGCGCTTTTAATGGGCTCCCTGATCCAACCACAGGGCCCGTCTTACAACTACGTAGAACGCTGGATGCAGGCTTTCTGTCCAAAAGGATTTGGTGGGTTGTCACTTGACAAATTCCCAGCCAGCACTAGGGGGGGAGGAGAGGAAAGGGAGGAGGTGAGGGCAAAAAGGTAGCCTTGTCTCTGTTTTGGAGGATTTTAAAAAAAAAAAGGGGGGGTGGTACAGATGCTCACTGAATTCAACCAACTGCTGTATCTCCACTGCGGAATTCAATGCCCTTAACAAATAACAGCGATGTAGCCGCGCGCGGGAGGAATAGTTCGAGCCACTTTGCATTTGCATCTGGTTGACTGTTAAACTCATTTCGACATGGGGAGCACAGGAAAAAAAAAAAGGAATTTCTGTTTGAGCCACTCTTTCAAGAATGTTTAAATATTGGAATATAAATCCTTTATGCTTACTATCATTCCTTCTTAGAGCGATCATCACCTTTTGAGAACCTCCCCCCCCCACACACACACACATGCACACTCCGCCTCTCCTCTCTGGTGCTTAGCTAGAAAAAAAAATATTGTGTCTTTGCTACTGTGTGGATGGGTCACACCTGGCAATGTACAGAGGGCTGCGCCTTAGAGGCGTCCTGGCTCATGCCTTAATTTTTTATTTCTTTACTTTTGTGTTGTTTGGTGTCCCCTCTGGAGTGAGCAGAATTCAAAAGGAATCTTCTCCTTAACCACTGCTGCAAGGAGCAAAGGATCAGGTAACTCTGACAGAATCTCCCTTCTAGTTTACCTGTGCTGTGCAGATCGCTCGCTTCTTGGTGAGTTTGAATCAAATACCGCACGGCACCCAGGGAAGTGGAAAGCTATCCAAATGAGCAATCTGCTCGTCCTGGCTCGGGTGTGGCTGAGAATGATGATCTTGTAAGTTACTGCTAAATACCTGATCCTGTCTTCCCTGATTCTTCTCTATCTTTGGGGTTAGCAGGAAGGGGGATTTGCTGACAACATGTTCACTCAAAACACGTTACATATGACCGACAGATGTGGGCCACTCTGATCCTTCTATAATAATGTCGTATTTTTTTTTTCTGAATGAAACCCAGCATTTACTTGAACACCACAGCTGGAACACCTGGCTTTTCTCAGATACTGCCAGAAGTTTCCCCCGGCCGTACGTCTCTGACATGTGTCAGTGCTTTCAAAAGCCCATTTGCTTAGGTGATCAGGCAGGAAGTTCCAGTGTGGCAGTTGCCTCATTCTTTGACAGTGGTCTGCCCCAGAAATACCACCATGGCTCAGGATTCTGCAGGGAGGGAGGGGGGGTATCATTCAGGCTTATGCTGATGACAGGAGATTCAGTATTTCCAAATCCCGCTCATCCCTAAACACGAGCCAGGCATCTCTGGGAGGCAAAACTTTCACGCAGCCTGGGATCTCCCCAGCGGCCCCTGCATCCTACCACAAACCTGAGGTGCACGGGGAGGGGAGTTTGTTGTCAGTGGGGGAGGTGGCTGGATACAGGGAAGGACGCTGCTTCCTGTGGACAGATGGCCGGGACTACCAGGGAGAAGGCAACTCCTGCACGGGTGGAGGGAAACGCAGGCGGACAGACGTACGGACACACAAGGCGAGCACCCAGGGATGGGGGGCGTCCCCAGCCAGCCGGCCACTTTTAGGAACTAACCTTCTCCGTCCGGCAGTTGTTGAGGCCTAGGTTATTGACCACGGCCACCTTCCCGTCCAGCGCCTGCTGCTCCCGCCGAAGCTGCTCCTTCATTTGCCGCGCTTCTTGGATGGCCTTGGTGACGACGTCGTGGTCGTTTAAATAACCTGGGGATGGAGACAGATTGAGTGCACACAGGTGTGTCGAGGGCCGGCTTTGACTCATAAGCGCCTGCGGTGCGGAGGGGGCGTGGCCCCTATCCAGCATGTCCTCATTTCCCGCACGGCATTTGTCTGGCCTGAGCGAGTAACTGATCCTGGCGGCATCACCCGGTCGTCCAGGAGAGAAACCTAATGCCAAGAGAATTTAGGGAGATGTTTAACGTGTCACCTAAGGGAGCCATGTAGTCTAGAGTATGTTCCTCTCTGGATGTTACCCCACAATCTGATGACATTCGTACTTACCGGTAGGCTGGGCGAGTCTCTTACGGTATTAGAAAGTTCAGTTTAAGAGTGGTGTGTATTGGGCTGGGCAGGTGGCTCAGTGGTAGAGCGCTCACCTAATGTGCATGAAGCCCTGGGTTCGATTCCTCAGTACCACATACGCAGAAAAAAGCTGGAAGTGGTGCTGGAGGTTGAGTGGTAGAGCTCTGGCCTGGAGCAAAAAGAAGTTCAGGGACAGCGCCCAGGCCCTGAGTTCAAGCCCCAGGACTGGCAAATAAATAAATAAGCAAATAAATCAAAAGAGTCGTGTACAGCACTATTTAAGTGTGGCTTACAAAGAAGGCCTACGTCGTGACTGACTGACTCCAAAGAAGAATTCCTCCCTCCCTCGGTCCACGTACCGTGGAAATAGAAACTACAGGTGGCAGTGGTTTGCTGTGAATGGAAACTTGGTGTAAGCAAACACGCTGAACTTAGAGCGGAGACTGGAACCCAGTACCCATAAGAAATGGTGGCTACTGTCCACGACAGCCACACTGAAATTCAGTGGGACACTTTCCACATGGCTGGCTGGGGTCTGGAGCCACAGGAGCCGGGGACAGTCCAACAGAACAGCACAACGCAACGTCACAGAAAGCCAAGCATCCTCCAGATACTCCACTGAGAGAGTCCCAGGGAGAAGGAGCGAAAGGAATGTTTTCCTTAGCTAAGCTACGCTTTACGTTTGGACACCGGGTCATTCATTTATTTGCTGCGTATTGTGATAAGTAGTTGTGAGCTGGGGGGCGGGGGGCGATGTGAATGGCAAGTGATACGTTGTTTTTTCTTTTTTTTTTTGCCAATATTGAAAGAGAAAACTAATAGCTGGTCTTTCTCTCCATCTTTTTAACTGGGACATTAGATGGCATAAATGAATCTGTAATATGAAATTGCCCAGAAAAGGGACTTGTTTGTGACATGAGGCTAAATCTAACCAGATCCATTGGTGAATCCTGACAGATGGAAAACTGTGAGACAGAAGGCAGGCACTAATCACACATAAAATGACCGGCTTGCTTCAATGTGTTCCATGAATTCCAGCAAACTTTACACCCTAATCCATTTTTAGAACAAAAAACATCTGGGCCATAAATCCTCTAATCTGCCAAAACACGCTATTAAATCCCATGATTTGTTGAAAAACACCAAGATTAAAGAAAGGAAATATAAAATGGCTAACTGCTGTGTGAGGAAAGTGTTATTAATACTCTTTTCTTTTGTCTCAATTATGAATGTTGTGGTAGGAAAGAGCCTTGTCTAATCATGTCAGATTACGCAGCCTGGGTGTCTTGCGAGAATTTTCTATCTGATCTGACGATTGCCAAAACACAAAACCACACACACACACACACACACACACAACCACCCTAACGTAGTTTCTTGCTGCTTGAACACTTCTGTGGAAGACGCTGATGTAGGATCAGTGGGGTGTTTGGCGTGTTTCTTTCTAAAGTGACAGCCTCGTACCCCTCTACCACGCCTCCTCTGAGGGGCCACCCAACCATCTTCTAGGGGCCAAGAGGAAGTAACAGGGTAGGTGACAGGAAAAGGGGAAATCGCGCGAGCTCTTGTGTGTTTTGACATTCTGCACTAATGATCGTAATTCAGTCACAGAACCAACCACAGATCGTAAGGACAGGACCCTGTTGCTTTTTGTGACGGGCAAGGATGACTTGGAAACCAGTCACTTATACATACCCGAGACTGATCGCTATGGCTAATATTTCGTGCAAAGGATGTGGGTAGGTGGCTTTCCAGTCGCCTCACACCTCCTGATTCCTGACTCCTTGATCGACTTTCTTAATAGATTCTATGGAAACTTACTTTAGTCTTTTCAAATTTCTAAAACGAAATAGAGTCCCTCTAGGACAGAGCTGGCCTGAGATGCTCAGATCATTCTTCCTCTCCTCTTCCCCCCCCACCCCCTTTCTGCCCTCCTCTCTCCCTCCTCCTCCTCCTTTGGTTAAGGTATTGGAACTTGAGTTTAGGACCTGGGTGCTGTCCCTTAGCTTTTTCTCTCGAGGCTGGTGCTCTACTACTACAGCCACAGTTCCACGTCAGGCTTTTGGCTGGTTCGTTGGAAGTGTGAGTCTTGCAGTTGTGTTTGCTTGAACTGACTTCAAACCGTGATCATCCTAGCTCAGCCTCTTAGTAGCTAGGATTAGAGGCGTGAGCCACTGGCGCCCAGCTGTGTCTTGCGTTTTATAGTCTAGTTAACCTCTGGGTTGTTCGTTTAACTTTTCCAGAACACGCATCGTTGTTTTTTTTTTTAATACGGTTCAGCATGTGGAATAAAAGTATGAACTCTGTAAGCTTTTCAGGCTCTGCCCAGGTAACATTGTGAAGGCAAATGATGAACAGAGAGGCGAGAGAAATGTTCATTTTCATTGTGGGTGATAATCCAGGTTCTGGCTGCTTCCCGTCTCTGATGATCTGCTGGGGTGGAGTGGGTGCCCATGTCCTCAGATTTTGTTTATGTTAGACGCCCTCGGGTGTCAGCAATGATAGCACGGGAAATGGCAACATGTGTATCGGCTAGGCTAAGTCCTCAGGGCTTTGAGATGTCAGAGCTCCCTCTTCAGAGGTGTCCCGGTTCTTTCTCTCCAGCCTTGTCTCTGTGGTTTCTAGGCCGAGCTTACCCAGAATGCTTGAGTTCTCCCCTTCCCACTCCGGAAGGACATTCGTATCTCATCCCCATGGAGATGCCTTCCCTCCCTCCTTCCCAGCATCTCCCCTTCCTCGCGCCGTCTTCATGGACCCGCTGGGTTCCCTCCTTCGCCTGCCTCTTCGGTGTTTGGTTCAAGTTTTCAATCACAGGGAAGTGTGTGGGAGCTGGGCTCCGTGGAAGTAAAAAATCTTACACTTCCCAGCCATTTGAATTTCATAAGCCGTGTTCCTCTTCTAAGTCTCACTGATTAAATGGGTATAACATTCACAACTTAATCAAATGTCACCAAGATTAGAGGGATCCATATGGTCTCCTGACACAATAAATTGTCCATCCCCGCGATGCACTCATTGTCGTTTTATTTGCAAAGTGGCAAACCCAGGAGAATTGAGAGACTGGATCCGGATGACTCTGCACTTCTGCCGGTTGGGGAGGGTGACATTTGAGAAATTATAACACTTAATCTCTCTTAAGTTTCCATGTAACACTGAAGGGAGAATTAAATGAAGTAACACGTGTGGCAGAGTAGGGGAAACCCGGTATTTGAGGATGTAAACACTGTTAACTGCTTTATTTTCTGAGATTTCACCCTCAGTTCTCTCTCTCTCTTTTTTTTGTCAGTCGTGGGGCTTGAACTCTGGGCCTGGGCGCTGTCCCTGAGCTCTTCAGCTCGAGGCTAGCGCTCTACCACGGGAGCCACAGCGCCACTTCTGGATTTCTGGGGGTTAATTAGAGATAAGAGTCTTACGGATTTTTTTCTGCCTGAGCTGGCTTTGAACTGTGATCCTCAGATCTCAGCCTCCTGAGCGGCTAGTCAGTCCACCAGAGTGGAAAGGGGCCCCCATAGGGGTACTTTTATATGTTTAATTCTGCCCTCGTCGTAAATTGAGGCGGTACTCTAAAGCAAAATTAGAAGAGAGGGTCCCTGATTAGGCTATTGGTGTGTCTCCTAGGACAGACATGAACTGTTAAAGGTCAATGTTACTGCTGGCTAATATTTCAAACAGGATGTGGAAAATGCAGGTGAGGAATCTCATAAGAAAATTGTGAGCTTTTGTAACTTTGCTAAATGGATATAACAATTTGATTTTTTGGTTTATAGCTAATATGAAAAAAATCCTCAAAAATTTTCCCTCTCTCCTTTTTCCCTCCTCTTTTTTCCATCCCTATTGTCTTTTTTTCTCTCCCTGCCCTTTCCTCTTTCCCTTCCTCCTTTTCTCCCTGCCCTTTCCTCTTTCCCTTCCTCCTTTTTCCATCTCTCTTGCCCTTCCTCTTCATCTCTCCTTCCTTCCCTCCATCCTTCCTTTCCTCCCTTCCTTTCTTCTCTGAGTAAAATCATTGTACATATTTTCAGAGGCACAAAAGAAGAAATAGATGAGAAAACCCAACTGTAGAGAAGATACACCGTAAAGAAAAATAATAATGGCTGGCGTACAAGAAAGAAAGATAAGAAAACTAAACTAACTATAGTAGCTTGAGCTGCCAATCTCCCAAAAGCTACGTACAAATCCCAGCCCCCAGCATCTGTGAATGCCATCTTGGCTGGAAGTACAGGCTCAGAAGTCATTAATTTGAACATCTTGGATATAAGGTAAGTCTGCAATCCAATGGTTGGTGACCTCCATAAGAAGAATGAAACAGAGAGGTCTGACACACAGAAAAAAGGGTAAGGCCCTGTGTGTGTGTGTGTGTGTGTGTGTGTGTGAGTGTGTGTGTGTGTGTGCACGCACATGCTCACTGGCACTGGGGCTTGGGTTCAGAACCAGGGGACTGTCCCTGAGCTTTTTTTGCTCAAGGCTAGTATCTTCTACTTGGGCCACAGCGCCGCTTCCAGCATTTTTGGTGGTTAACGGGAAATAAGTCTCTTGGATGTTCCTGCCTAGGCTGGCTTTGAGCCACCATCTTGAGCAGCTAGGATTACAGGTATGAGCTATGATGCCCGGCAATATATTTACGTTTTAAGCCGGGTAGTTCACAGTAAGCTGTGTGGCAATCCAAGGACGCCAGTCAACTACCT